TCGCTGGTCGCCCGTGCCCCCGGGTACCCCCATCGTCACAGCAGCCCCAGGGAGCAGAGCAGGTTACAGACACCGCTGTCAGTGCAGGGCAGGGGGTGGATGCCCCAAAACAGGACACACGAATGGTTTTTCCAGCAGGATTGGGGTCCACCAGCTTATGGTGCACAGGGAACTCCAGACATGAGGGACATGGCTCACTCCGTCCTGTCCTCAAGGGACAAATGGGAGTGGGGACGAGATGGGAGTGGGGACCAGCCCCAAAATGCCGCCTGGAAGAACCACGTTGTCTAACGGACTGGGGGACAGTGTGGGACAGTGCCACAGCTCGGAGAGGCTCAGCCTTGCAGCAGGATGGAGACACCGGAGCATCCGCCTCCGCGGTATCCGACAGAGCAGCGCTCGGACAGCCCGACACACACAGACAGCAGAGATCAGCACCGGGTTTGGGAGAAAGGACTGACCCAAATTCAGAGATCTCTGACCATCACACATCCACACATGGACACACACGTGTCATGGACCAGAGCAAGCAAAATTTCACATGGTCGGGGCTGCCCCTTTCACCTCAGAGGCTGAAAGGAGCCTGGGACTGGGATGTGACCCAGGAACAAGAGTCTGAAACTGCCTGGTCCTGGGGGATTTACTCCCATTTTTATCTCCTTTGCTTTGTATTCCTGAAATCCAGCTGAAAACTGCAAATATATCAGCTTTTGCTTGACATCTTCTGAAGTTTATAAGCTAATTCTAGGGTCTAAGTTCTTGGGAACACACAACACGTCAGGTAGGCTGGGCCATGATTCCGCACACATAAAAGCAGCGATAATTGAGCGTGCAAATTAGGTGAGCAAATACCCAACAGGTTCCTATGCACCACAGGGAGTATTTGCACCGGACTCGGAGCTGTTTCTCCCCACGAGGGGAAAGGCTGTGACAAAATAACTGCGCTCCTCCAAAAGTCTCTCTTCAAGCGACACCTCTTTGTACCTACCTAAAAACCAGCACATCAGCACATCGCACCATTCAAGCTGTAAATAGCTTAAAATAGAAGAATTTGAAAACCATTAAAAAGCCCAGATCCAAAGATTTAAGACATTTCTCTCCGAATCTGCCCTCGTTTTTCTGCTCTGTGGCTGCAAAGCCGCAGATCCTCAGCAAATGGCCGCTGGGTTTGGGGTTGCTGCAACCCCCAGTGATGGGGAGGTGATGGGGAGGAGGAGGAGGGTCCCTGCTGCTTTCCAAGGCGTTTTGGGGGAGCAGTGCTCCCGGGTGGGTGCTTTACTCCTCCAACTCCAAATAGCTGCACTTGTCCAACTGCCACAGACATCCCGAGGACACCACCACTGCTTATTTGGCCTCTCTGATCTGCACCCTAAAGCATCCTTTGGGGGCATCCTAACCTCCAACAACCCGAGCAGCTTCCAAACAAACCCTTACTTTACTGACACATCATCTCAGCCGCCACCTCTCCCTTCAGCGCCGCATTTCCTACCAAAACCATGCGGTGCAGAAAAGGGACATTTAGGGATCAACCTCAGTGGTCGCAGGAGCTGAAAACTCCTCTGCCCCACAGCCCCTGGCTGCTCCTGGACCAAGCCAATGGGACACAGTGTCCATGCCAGAGCACGGGGCCTTTCCTCTCACCTGCCAAGGACTTGTACCCAAGAAACCTGGCAATCTTTTGCTGGCAGTGCTCCTGCTCCTCGTAGGTCAGCAGCTGGTAGATAAACTGCCAAATGACTTGCTTGGCCGGTGTGTCCAGCACCGGGTACACATCCACAATGAGAGTGTCAATGTTCCTGCAAAATCGGAAAGAGAGGGCCGGGCGGTGAGCGCATCCCTTCAGCGTGGTCCTGCCAAGCTGTTCCCTGCGTTTTGGGCACAAATCGATGGTTTTGGGGCAGAGGAGATGAGTCCCTCGGGGAGCTGGGTCGTGCAGGTGGTGCTAATGGAGAGAGTGAATGCCCAGGATCAGCAGCACCTGAGAGCCAGGTATAAAACCTGGTTTGAGAGTTGGGTAAGGGGTTTGGAGTGGAGAAGGCAGAGAGATGCTGTGGAAGAGCTGAATTTTGGCCAGGAACAGGTAAGCTGAGGGAGAAATTTGTTGGAGGGGGTTTGGTGGGCTCCGGGCTTGGTTTGAGGTTGGCTCTGCTGTGCAGAGATGGTGAAGGGGTTGAGAAGAGTGGGGCTGAGCACCTGATTTGGAGAGGAGGACAAGGCAGCCTGGGGCAGGGACTGGAGTCAGGCTGCCTCTCTGCTGGGAAACTGAGGCAGAGATGATGGGTTAAAGCTTGCTGCAGCTATCGCATCCTTAATGCAGGAGTAATAGTAAGAACCTCTTATCAAAAGCTGGAATGAGATTGCATCTATTAAGAGCAAATCTGTTGTCTTGTTGCTAATCAAATGGACCATTGCTGCCTTCCAAGGGGCAGGACCAGGCACCCAGGGGAGAGCCGAGGGGTGAAGAGGCTCAGATGCTGCCAGGAGCTCATCAATGATGGGTTCTGGGGGGTCAGCAGGGATGGGAAGCAGTGGGAGCCATCCAGAGCCCACCAGGAGTGACCTGAGAAGCTTCTCCCTGATTTGGGGCTACTCTGTGGCAAGAAAAGTCAACCTAATGTTCGTTCTCCTCCTTGTTGGAGCAGTGAGAGGTCAAAGCTGGCTCATCTGGGACAGGAATGCAATTAGGTCATGATGAATTATTGTTAAAGGGAGCAGTGGCCTCTGCATGGAGCCATTCGGGGTGAAATGAGGTGGTGGGAGAGGATGGGTGCTGGTGTCCTGCTGCCCCTTGCTCCCCACAGCCGGGGGCTCTGGAGTGGGCAGCAGCAACAGCCCCCAGTAAAGCACCACCGGGAGACCAAGCACTGGGTGCTGCCCTGTGCTGGGAGGGGATCTGGGGTTTGATTCGTGGCACTGGGGCTCCCAGCCTTGCGCCACTGAGAGAGAGAAAACTGTGCTAGGATCGGGTCAGCATCGTCCAGTTACAGAGCCCAGGGACTGGACCTGCTCCCACAGCCACAGCTCCTGGGGCTGAAACGCCCAAAACTGGGGACCCCCATAGTCTCAGGAGGGCACAAAGCAATGATTTCTGCTTTACTGGGGCAGTGTTGGTGATCATGGAGCCTCAAGAGGGTTTGCTCAGCTGGTGTATGGGGGCTACGCAGCTCTGCACACCCAGCACCTATGGGCACGGGATGCTGCAGGGCGGTACAGCCCTGAGCCCAAGCCATGAGGCAGTGCCATGGTGGTGTACTTGGTAGTTTCTATTCTGTCTTAATATCAGTAACCTAAATACTGAGGGTTTTGCTGCATTTCCGGGTCAAACTGAGGATTCAAATCCTCTGATCTTTGCTGGTGCTCTGTGTGGGAGCAGCTGGGGTTGGCTCAGCAGCTGTGGGAAAGGCAGCAGTGCCCGGAGGGATGGCTTATTCCCCATGGGAAGGTTAAAGACCGAGGGCAGAAAGCAAGCACTGGAAGCCAAAGGACCGGTTTGGACCCTGCAGTGGGATGGGGAGGGTCTGCTCCATCACAGGATGAAGGCTCTGCCACCCATGGCCATTTCTGTGCTGCTGCGAGGGAGCGCAGCAGCCAAGATGCTGAGAAGATAAAGATGAACAATGGTGGGATTTAGTGAAAGAGATGGAGCAGGATCTGCAGCCGCTGGGGACAACCAGATGGCAAGAGAGACCATGCTTTGGGACACCAAGGTCGCTTTGGGGCATTTTGGGGTGACTGAATTAACCTCAGATGGATCTGCCCTGTCCTGGGGCAGGATGGATGTGCTCATGCCCTGCAGACAGGGAGATGCTCAGCTTGGGAAACTGCAGAGCACGATGGCAGCGGAGCTCTGCGTGGAGACACCCGGACATGGGCACTGTCCCCAGGCCAGGTACCGGCGTTGAGGACGGGAGCTGCGGAGGAGTTACCGGTGTTGGAAGAAGCCTTCCAGCGCCTTGCAGGTGGTGTAGCGCTCGGGGGGGGTCAGCAGGTGCTCCAGCTGCTGGTTGAACGTCCTTCCCTGGATCTTGATGCTAGAGGGGAGGATCTCTGCCACCCACTGCAGGGAGGTGAGGGCGGAGGAGCTGCTCGGGGAGTCGGCAGAGTCTGAGTCTGCGAGGGGCGGGCAGAGAGAGAAGAGAAAATTCAACAGAGAAAGAGTCTGAATCACGGGTTAAAGGCTCAGCCTGAAACCAGGGGGCAGCCCTGGGGACAGCTGCACCCGTGTACAACAGAAAACAAGTCCTGATGTGCTGATACAGGCATTAGAACAGCAAAACTGGATTTCGGTCACTGGAAGGCAGCACGGTGGCAAGGTGAAACGGCTCATTGGGAGCCATGACTGCCCCTGCCTTCTCCATGCTCTGAACCGGCTGCTCTGGAGCTCCTGACCATCCCAGATGGTCCATGGACCTGCTGAGGGCAGCAGGGGTTTGGACTGAGCTGCTCTGGGATCCATCTCTTAACCCTGCTGCTTCCCTGCTTCCTGTGAGCACAGGCTGCTGATGTCCCTGTTCTGGCTCTCTGAAGGCTCTGCTCACGTTTCAGAGCACTTTATGACAATCCTGGACGTCAGATGCAGCATCAGCATCAGCCACGGGTTTGCTGTGAGGGAACCGGGGCTTGGCTCTGCCACCCTCATCTGCACCGGTCCCTGTGCCACAGCCCCCACAGTGAGTGCAGGGCAATAACCACGGCTGGGAGAGGGACCTGACCATGGCTGTGGGATGTGCTCATCCACCCAGGAATGTGGCCAAGGCAGGGGGAGCAAAAATCTCATCTTTTCTTGGGTTATTTGGGGGCAGTGAAGGAGTTTGAGTGCTGCTGGCTCTGTACAGCGAAGCAGCGAGGTGCTCGGTTTCCCTTCTAGGGCACATGCAGACAAATTGGGAACACTGAACTCCTAATGTGATGCTCAGAGTTTGCTGCTGCTCCGGAGGGAAGAGCCAGTCCCTAATTCCCAATAACCCAAAAACGCCCCAACCCTCCTGTCTTTGCACAGCTTCAGAATCACAGCAGGGACTGTGTTGTGCCCTGGGCTATGGTCCTGCTCTCTCATCCTCTCCAAAATCCTGCAGTGCAACCTCTGCATTGCCCCCGCCGCCCTCGCCTCCTGCTGACTCTCTCCCTGCTAAATTATTGATGCCGGCAGCAGTTATTCTGAACAGCACCGTCCGTGGGATTTGCACAGCGACCATGGACGCACGGGGTTGGGTTACTCGGGTCAAGTACACGGCACAGACTGCATGTGCAGGGTGCTGAGCGCCGCCAAGGACGATCATGCAGCAAAAGGAACCCTCTGGAGAGCGGCTTGAGCCCCATATTGAGCCTGATCCCGAGAAACGAGCAGCCGCATCCAAAAAATCCCGCCCGCCGAGCCTATGGGAGGTTTCTGGGGGAACTGGGGAGCCGGCGCGGGGTTCGTGCGGCTCCAGCCCCTCCTCGCCGCTCTCTTACCGCTGGAGAAGTTGACGATCCCCTCTTCCACCACCAGGGTGGGCATGGCCCCGCTGCCCTGCAGCATCGACACCACCTTGTCGTGGGAGCAGTTCCTGGGGGCACAGGAGAGCCCTGGTCAGAGGGGCCGGGGTCGGAGCTGCCTGCGTGGCTCATGGTTCACAGCGGTGAAACGGAGCCTGCAGCTGCCCTCGGTTAGGGCACGAAAAGCCTCATCTCCCTGCAGTACAATTGCCCTGGGGTCTCAATCCCTGCTTGGTTTTAGCCGTGCTGCTCAGGAAAGAGCCTCCCCAAGGAAAAAGCATGGACCCCCCTTCATGACCGGGCTCTGCAGGGAGGAAGGACCCCCGGGAACGCCTGCAAACGCCCTGCGGAGCCGTTACGGCAAACGAAGGCTGCGCTGCTGTAAGCTACGCTCAGCCCCAGAAGATGAACTTTCCATTTAAACGATCCAGCGCTGCGGGGCTCTCCTCGCCTGCCCTAATTCTGCGTGAAAAGAAGGCGCAAGGTGGATGTAAAATGCGTTTTTGTAGGCAGAAAAAGACGTGGGGGTGTCCTTGGAGAAGGGTACGGACCGGCCTGGGACAGCGCCTGCCGAAAGGCGGGCTCAGAGGACAATCTCCAACGCGATCTCCTCTATTTTCTGGCAACGCTGCATCAGCCAACAGTTTGCTGGATCAGCTGAAATGCGAGAGCCCCAGCACTGACAGAAGCAGCATCAGATGTTTAACCTTTAAATATTCATCACTCGCTCTTATCGTGTGGCCTCTCCTAACCCTTTGCTCTTGCTTTTTGTGCTGAAAGACCAACCCGAGGTGATGTGAGCTGCTGCCACTGCCCAGTGAGGTGCACGCTCAGCTCTGGGCTGATTGCTTTTGCTGTATGCAAATAATATACAGAAAAATTAACTTCTAGGTGGAAATGTGATTGCCCGTGTGGTTTTCAGCTTCTGATCTCATTCTGGGAGTGATTTGTGGGCTGGCTGTGGTACTCTGCACCTTTCAAAAGCACAGCCCTGGTGTTGAACTCATACAACTCAGTGTGGCTGAAATCAGGGTCTGCAGGGAGGTTGCAGCCAGGGTGCTGGTTACGGTGCGTGGTACATGGGTATCTGCACAGAGAGGTCAGAGGAGGAGCAGCGATGGAGCTGAAATACTACTCTGAGCCAGATTTTATAAAAGGATATTACAGGAGATGTCCATATGGGTAAACCCCATGTCAGCAGACAGCTCTCGAGGACGATCAGCTCTCATCTCTGCACAAGAGTGACCAAGTGAATGTGTGTGTGCGTGGCTGCCCCCCCAGGACCCCTTGTAAAGAGCCTCCTACCTCATGTCCAGACCGTTGAGGAACAGGATCCGGTCCCCAGCCTTGAGAGCGGCCTTCTCCGCTGGGCTCCCTAAATGTAGGAGGATGAGAGGGGCTTCAGCTGGTGAACCCCAGTTTATGGGGCTGGGGTCCCAGTTCTCGGCCACTCTGTGCCCAGGGCCACCCCCAGGACTGGGCTATAGGGATGGGCTGGGGCAGGTCCCCAGGCACAGCGATGTCAGTGCTCAGACAGGCTTTTTCCACCTTATAAAGCAAGGATTGCACAAAGCCAAACTAATTTGTACCAAACACTAATTACTCAACTCAGGGTGCTTCATCACCGAGCTTTGCAAAGGTCTCTTGTGCTGTTTTCTAGCAAACAGCAGGCAGTTTTCAGCTCAGATCGGGGATAAAGAGGCATCTCTGAGCCCTATGCTGGGGTTTCTTACCTGGCAGAACGGACTCGATCCACACCGGGGCATGGCCGCGCAGCGTGAAGCCGAAGCTCCTGTTGCCTTTATAAACTCGCACGGTTCTGCAGGCAGAAAACAGCAAATGGGAAATCAGAGACCAGCAAATATTTGGTTCTTGTTTCCTTTCCCAGCCCCTCCAAAGCCCAGGTGTTCCCCGAGTGCCCAGTTCCTCGGTGCTCGCTGTGCCCCTCATTTGATACCAAAGCATCTTTCAAAGGGGAGCCCCCAAAATGTGTGGGAAGAGGGATGGAGGAAATGTGTGTGAGGCCCCTGAGCATGGCCTCTTGCTCTGCATTAATTACTGAATTCATTAGTCCAGTCCTTCCATCCAGATCCAATGTGTTTTTACAGTGGAATATGGGATATAGCTTATATATTGCATAGAGTGAGAGACACAATGTGTTTTGGTGGGCAAAGATCTCGTAGACTGGTGAGAGAGAAATTAAATCCCGCTAGGAAATTTTTGAAGGAGCATTAGGAAATCTCTGTGCTGGGAGACTGACTGGGGCTGGGAGCTGTTGGTGGCAGGGAGCAGAGGGGAGGCAGCATCATTGGGATCATTTACTACCAGAAATCCCGTTGTAGGGACTGACCCTGCACTGATGGGGACAGAGCTTGTGCTGGAACAGCCCAACAACCCTGGGAGAATCCCCTGGCTGTGCTGGCAGAGCAGATCCTGTTATCCTGTTTGTGAGATGGGGCTGGAAACAGAGCAGGAGCCATGGCCAGCATGGCAGGATGGGGGCTGCTGAGGTCTGGCCATATGGGCTGTGGGAAATGGGTTAATCCCCTAAACACCAGGAATTGTTCAGCCTCCTCCCATGGCCTCACACACAGATGCAGGGCAGGATGAGACAGCCAGGTCTGTGCCTGGGTGCTCAGCATCCCATCAGCATGTCCAGGTACCCTGCATCCCACCAGCACAGCCGGGTACCCCACATCCTGTTGGCACAGTTGGGTACCCTACATCCCATCAGCATGGCTGGGTGCTCAGCATCCCACCAGTACAGACGGGTACCCTGTACCCTGCCAGCGTGGCTGGGTACCCTATATCCCACTAGCATGGCTAGGTGCTCAGCATCCCACCAGCACAGATGGGTACCCTGCATCCTGAAGTTGGGAAAAGAGGTGCAACCATGCCCAACCTTTGAGAGGGAGCTCTTTGCTCATCCTCATCCCAGGAGGACTGCACCCAAGACATCCCTTTTCCCAGCGTCTGCCCCCCCTTTCCCTGCCATCCCTGCCCGGTGCCGCCATCCCCACCAGATCAGCCCCTGCCGCGGTGACCCTGAGGGTGTCCCGGGGAGGCGCTACCTGCGGGCAGCCCCCGAGGCCACATTGCTGGTGATGAGCGAGGTGCTTTTCCGCAGGCTCTTGCTGGCTTCCTCGTGGCTGCGGGGCACGGAGCTGGCGCGGGTGGAGCCGCTCCTGGTGGTCCTCGCTCCGGCTGCGCCGCAGGCGGTTGCTGTGCTGCTGGCTCTTGGAGCGGCAGAGCTTGCTGATCAGGCTCTGCGACACCACCTCGTCGAAGCGCTGCCGGTGCTTCTTGGGGATGAAAATCCTGGGGAAAGGAGACCAGGGAAGTGGGGGTGAGGACTTGGACTGGGGTGGCCGTGATCCAGAGCATCAGATCCAGGCGTATCTGGGGAAGGAAAGGTCAGAGCAGCCCCAGCCCCTCGTGTGCTCTCGTTCTCAGCCTCCCCAAGCTGCAATCGCTGGGGACAGCAGATGCATCTCCTACCCTGTCCTGTGCATGGCTCCATTGGGATGAGGAGGTCAGACCCCTCCTCGGTGCAGTGCTCACAGAGGCTGATTCAAACAGCCTGGTTCCTCCTCGCACATCCCATCCTGGACTCCTGCAGCTGCTGGTCCCAGTGTGGTGATGATGCACCACGTTAATTTCTTCCCCCTGTGCTCATAGCCAGGGATCTGGCTGGGCAGGAAGGTCCCCTGTCACCATGGTGCCCATCCTGTTGTGACGCTGCTCCTCGCTGCGTGGTACCCATGGCTGGGGTCCCAATGTACCAGTGTTCCCCCATGCTGCCGGTGCCAAGACGCCTCCTCCAGAGCTGCTCATTCTCCAGCACATTCTGGGACCCCCCAGAATGTTGCTCCCCATCTCCTACCCCAGATCCTCTATAGGGAGCCCCAGACTCTGCTCTCCTGCACTCCAGCTTTGGTTATTGCCACCCCCAGCTCCCACCACAGCCAGACAGGAGCCTCACACCCCTTAGGAGATGCTGGTGCTGCAGGGACAAGGATGGGCATGGTGATGCTGTCGGCAAGGGGACACCACTGGGAATTCACTGTGTTTTGGGTCACCTCCCCTCCACCTGATGGGGGCTGCTCTGCCGGCAGCCAAGCGGCTTTTGTGCCCCCTCCAGGACCCTGGGGGATGCACAGCGAGCACAAAGCGGGATCCCAGGAGGGGCTTCACCCCTGCAAGACTGGGAAGTGCTTTTCCTTTTCCCTCTGCCACCGCAACAGCGAGCGCTGACACCCGCTCACCTCCTCCTCCCCTCTGTTTGCACATCTGGGGGCTTCTGGAGGTGCCATTATCTCGGTGGGTTTCTATAGCAACTCGTCCCGGGCTGCCTGGCGCAGCTGCATTTTGCTCGTTAGACAGCACCGGCTCGCGAGGTTCATTAGTGCTCCTCACCCCGCCGAGCGAGAACGCGCTCCCTACATTCACACAAACCCTGGTGCTTGTGGTGGAGGAGGGATGCGAGCGTCAAAAAAAAACCCAGGGACCGCGGCTCCCGGGGGGCACAAACTGGGACAAACTGGGAGCTGGCGGCAGAGGACCCAGAGCAAACTCTCTCCAAGGGGATGCACCACTGTGGTGATGGCCTGGCTGATAATGAAGGGAGGATGAAGAGGATGGGGTCTCCCCCATCCCTTGGGCAACTTCACCAAAGGAACCCGAAATCCTGAGTGAAGCCAGAGGAGGCTTCCAATCCCAAATCTGCCAGGACCAGGACATCTCTATTAATAAAAGGCAGAACTCAAACCAAGCGCTGCTGCTGGCACTGAGTGGGAGCTGCCAGCTCGCGAGCCATCCCGGGGGTGGCACACGCTCGCACAAAGCATTTGGTGACAATTTAAAATAAGCAACACACCGGTGTGATTCGCAGGCCGTCTGGGATTCAGAAGCAACTGGAAAAAGGGTGAAATCAAGCTAATAAATAGTTCACCAGCTGCAAGCAGGCTCCTGCAGGAGCACAGGCTGCTGTGGTCCTGTGGTGGGGGGTACATGGCCCAGTGACAGGACCCCACACCTCCACCAGGGCCAAGTCTGGGTTCCTGGCAGGTGAATCGAGCACGTTCCTATTTGCATTGACCAAATTAAAGTGGCCCCAGCAGCGCTGTCCCACTTTGCACCGACAGCGGCTTCGCCTGCGGGCACATCAGGGCTGGCTCCATGGCCGGGGACAAGCTCAGTGCTGGAGTCAAACGGGGTCTGAGCAAGGAGCGGAGCTCAGTGGCTGGTAAAAATAATCCTATTAAAGCACGCAAGATCGCTTCCTTCTGCAAAACCCTTTGAGAGACTTTGCAGCATGGCTCTGGGGAGCTCGGGACAGCCCCGTGCTGCTGGGGATGGATCCCGGGCTGCAGAGCCCATGGGAGGGATTGGGGACCCAGCAGTGCTGCTCTCACACCTTCACCTTCCTCTTCCTCCTCCTCGGCTGCTCCAGCTCAGCCCTGGCCCTGCTCCCTGTTGGAGGGGGGGACGGGGACGGTGTCCCCAGCCCTGGGTGCTGCAGCCCCACAACTTCTCCACGGCCCTGATCCAGGGTGCACTGAGCCCTCGCTGAATCAGCCCAGCCGGGATGGGTGCACGCTGCCATGGGGTGGGAAACCGCCCTGCAGAGGATGCTCAGCACATCCTGGTCTATGGCACAGTCACTGCTTCTTAAAACAGGGTCCCTCTGAGCGGACAGTCCCATTTCTGCATCCTGTCCTCCCCAGCCCATGTGTCCTGCAACGGGCACCAAGCTCACCCCAATGGTGCCCCCCGAGCTGGATGCTGAGCCTCACCAGTGCAGGATGCAGCCCCTTGCATGGGGCAGCAGCCCCAGGTTTGCTCAGAGCTCACACTCAACCGGTGCCAGGACCCCCAGTCCTCACTCCATCGCAGCCCTGCACCACGCAGCACCCCCAAACCCCATCCTCACCACCAACCCCTTTGATGACCATAGCCACAGAGACAAAGCAGCCCCTGATGTGCTCTCCCCAGCCCTCCACCCCTCATTATTCATTTAAAAATGCTCACCCCCCCCATACCCCTCGCACCACCGCTGTGATGGGCACAGATTGGTGGCCCGGCCGCACCAGTCCCCACAGCTCCCGGGGGCAGCAGAGCCACCACAGGGACGTCTATGGGGACGCGGGGCATTCCCCGCGCATCCGAGGAGC